AGAAAGAAAATGTGTAATCTACAGGAACAAAGATGAGGTTTTAGGGGTTTACTAAACGCTGACATGTGATTAAGTCTCACTGATTTTTCATCAGAATGCATCTTTTACTTAAAACTGGCACATGACCTGACTTGAACCTAATGTTCGTGCTGTTTTAGCGCCGTTAAAGGACACGCAATGAGCTGAAAATGTGCATCTAAATGTGACACTTTTACACAGTCTCATGATGTCATTTTGTCAATAATCACAAACAGACAGAGTTTAAATGTTCTCTTTGGTTCCTGATGAGTGAAAACGCAACATGAGCGCCTTCAACAGCGATATTGACATTTAACTTCTCTGCAAGTGTCACCAAGTTTTCTTTTCTTCCCTATTTCGTAGGTTTTTGTAGATTTTCTTTTTGGATCTACATGAATTTGGCTAATAGTGATGATTTGGACTGTTTTTCATTCTTGTATGAGTCAGATTCATGGACCTTTTTTCACATTTCGACATGTCTTGGCACAAAAAGCACAGCTGATGAGATGAGTGACGGCTCACGTGCAGCTTGTTGTGATATAAAGCAGGTTTTAGGCCAGACAGGGTTGGAACTGTGTTTGACAAGTTGGTGGACGAACCAAGAGCAGGCGGTGTTCATAGAGGTGGCACCATGTCTTGTTCGTTTTTGTCAGGATGCTGTGTGAGCCAAATAGTCTTTCCATGTCTTAATCTTATTCTAGTGCAGACTGTTGTGTTTATTAACGTGAGAACTCGTATAAATGGAACAAAGTCCTGTATTTTAATTGCTGGTAGAACTCACAAGATGATCACAATTTAAATGGCATAAAATAAGAAGACTCTGATGTCCGAAGCGTCCTTATTCTGTTCTGAGACATCCCTCTGTGTCCATTAACTCTTTAGTTTCTGTGTTTCAGCTGCAGGTTCTGGTTCAGTCTTGTACTTGTACAAACCTGGAGTCCTATCGGAGACATTTCTAGTCATCTTGGACAAATTTTGTGTCATTTTGGACTTCTTTGGGGGCCATTTTGAAATATTTTGACAGCTCTTACCTTATTTTGGACAACTTTCAAGACATTTTGGGCATTTTTTGGTCATTTCAGGGCTACACTGTGGCTCGGTGGTTAGCACCGTTGCCTCGCAGCAAGAAGGTTGCCAGTTCACATCCTGGTGAGGACACCCGGGATCTTTCTGCGTGGAGTCTCCATGTTCTCCCCGCGCAGCGTGGGTTCTCTCCGGGTTCTCCGGCTTCCTCCCACAGTCCAGAAACATGTTGAGGTTAATTGGTGATTCTAAATTGTCC